GACCAGCTGATTTAAATACATCCAGTCCCTCCAGAAGTTCCCTGACTAGATCCTCTCTGACCCATATTGAAATCAGTGGAGAAACTGTCTTAACTTCAATAAGACCAGGATTGCACCTCCAATTCTCAGGTGCAGATAGCCTGCAAATCCCTCTGAAGTCAATAGGATCTGCATAGCAGCACAGAAGATTTAGCTCACCTATTTAAATATGGGTGCTTACATATGGATTTAGGCACCCTTGTTAGCAAAAGTTGATCCTGCTGGTTTAGTCAAATGTGTTTAATTTACATTAAGTTAACATATAAATACATGTGGTATTGATTCACTCTGTGTAGAAAGAATACTGCTGTTTTAACATTCCTTCAAATGATACTTACACCGCCCAGTCTGAATCTGATATATGCACCTGCTGCAGCATCTAGGAATTCTGCCTGGAAAAAAAGAAAGATTTAATCTACAGTGCTTCCAGAGCACTCAGAGTTGCAATAAAATCACAGAATCATAGAAAATTAGGCTTGGAAGGGACCTCAGGAGGTCATCTACTCCAACCCCCTGCTCAAAGCAGGACCATCCCCAATTAGATCATCCCAGCCAAGGCTTTGTCTAGCCAGGTCTTAAAAGCCTCTAAGGATGGAGAGTCCACAACCTCTCTGGGTAACCTGTTCCAATGTTTTTCTACCCTCCTAGTGAGAAAGTTTTTCCTAATATCTAAGCTAAACTTCCTTTGCTGCAACTTCAGACCATCATTCCTTGTTCTGCCATCTGCCACTAGTAAGAACAGTCCAGGTCCATCCTCTTTGCAACCACCCTTCAGGAACCTGAAGGTGGCTATTAAATCCCCTCTCAGTCGTCTAATCTCCAGACTAAATAAATAGAGTTCCCTCAGTCTCTCCTCATAAGCCGTGTGCCTCACCCTCCTAACCATTTTCACTGCCTTCCGCTGGACTCTCCAATTTGTCCACATCCTTTCTGTAGTGGGCGGCCCAAAACTGGACACAGTACTCCAGAAGTGGCCTCACCAGTGCTGAATAGAGGGGAATAATCACTTCCCTTTATCTGGTGGCAATGCTCCTACCAGTGCAGCCCAATATGCCATTACCTTTCTTGGCAACAAGGGCACACTCTTGGCTCATATTCAGCTTATTGTCCACTATAACCCCTAGGTCCTTTTCTGCAGAGCTGCTGCCCAGCCAGTCAGTCCCCAGCCTGTACTGGTTCATGGGACTGTTCTGTCCTAAGTACAGGACTTTGCACTTATTGAACCTCATGTGATTTCTTTTGGTCCAATCCTCCAATATGTCTAGGTCACTCTGGGCAAGCCTCCACATTTAATAATTCACTGTAGTTACCATGTGTTAAGTTTAGTTCTTAGATAACCAAGTACTAAATCAATAAAGAGTAACTCACACTAGTGCACAGTAGCTCCTGCACATGGTTTTTTAGTCATGCTGACTACGCAGTAGCCTAATACTACTGTGCAGTAGTGTATTAGCACAGTTATTGCCTAGCATGCTACTGCACAGTGTTATTAGGCTATTGCACAGTTAGTGTCTCATGCAGACGCACCCTCTGAATCCTACCTTTACCCTCTATAGTATCTATTACTTCCCCCATCTTGGTGGCATCTGCAAACTTGCTGAGGGTATATTCCACCCCATCTTCCAGCTCATTGGTGAAGATACTGAACAAAACCATCTCCAGTTAGTATCCCAAATACTAACATATATCCCAAATAAGACAGACAATTATAAAACAATATTTCAAACTACATCTATAATTTACATAATGTGTTGGTGAAAATACATCAAGAAATAGAACTCTTACCTCTACAGGGTCAATGTATTTCATCAAAAGACGAGGTTCCCCTACCATTTTAAAACTGATAAGTCCTTTGTAGTATTGAAAAATATGGGTATCCTGTAGAAAAGTATAAATATGATCAAGAAAAGTTGTCATTGTTCCCCTCCCGCTCCAATCTGAAACACAGACATGATGATTTTTGGAGTTTCCCATACCCAGACTCACAAAATTTAGGACTATGTAAGACAAATCCTTTACATCAGCAGTGCCCAGTCTTCCGGCCCCATGAACCAATGAGTGCTGCAGGGTTGGTCCACAGCCTGGATTCCATGTAGAGTTGGTCCATGGGCTGGATTCCACGTGTTCAGACCTAGCCCTGGAGCAACCCCATGCCCACAGGATCCAAGCCTGTGTACCCAGATCTAGCCACAGAGTGACCCAGCATATACCAAATCTGACCCTGTGTGCACCAGAGCAACCCAGCATGCACCAGATCTGGCCATGTGCATGCCACCTCAGATACTGCATGCACTGGAGCAAACCTGTGTATGCATCAGTATGGCTACAGAGCAACACTGCACACTGACCCTGAGTATGGGACTGTGTCATCCAGCCCGTGGGGCTCTCCACTGAGACATTGTCTCAGTGCATTAAATCTTTCCCTGTCATACTCATCCCAATCCTGAAAAGTGAAGCCAGTGGTGTTACAGTAACGCTTAGGCAAATTTATATAAACAAAATTATGCATGTATATTTAGGGAGGAAAAAGACTTTAAATCTTGTATTTTTGCATTCTCATTGCATCCATTTTGTCTTTACCCACATGTTCACCAATATACTGCTTATTAAAAACTGAGGCAAACTACAAATTGAATTGGACAAATTCTTGGATGAAAGGGGCATCAGTAGCTGTTGAGCACGGGAGTTAGGGATACAGCCTTCAAATCAGAACTTCCTATACCTTAAATGATGGAGGCTGCAAATGAGAGAGGAACGGTGGGAAAACCTAGGTCATACCCAGTTCACTCTTCCTTTCAGCATCCAGTGTGGTACTCTGTGACACAGGATACTGGGCAAGATGGACCTATGGTCTGACTCAGTAAATGGCAATTCTTATGTTTTTAGGAAGACAGGTAAAAGATTATGGATCATCTAAATATGATTTAAAAATTAATCAGTATTTTGCCTCAATTTTTAATAAGCAGTATATTGGTGAACATGTGGGTAATGACAAGATGGATACAATGAGAATGAGGCATACAAGTGGAAATAATAACATCTAAGGTAGAAGCAAAAATCAAAGAGCTTAATTCACTCAAGTGGGAGTGACATTATCAATACAGAGGAGAATGGGTATACCAAACAGAAATAACTAGATGACCTTAGAGAATAATAGAAATGGGATGAATCCAGCAGTATAAAATACAAGATTATGCACTTGGGGACTAATAACAAAAATTTCACTGGTAAGTCAGGTGTTTATTACTTGGAAATAACTGAGGAAGAGATGGATCATGATGCATCTTGCTGATCACAGGATAACTGTGAGCTGTCAATGTGATACAGCCATGAAATGGCAAATGCAGTCCTACAATGCATTAGGAGAAATGAAAGATGAACTCAAATTAGAACAAATGCACAGAATGCTACTAGAATGATCAGGGGAATAGCGTGCCTCATGAGAAAAAACTAAAAAAGTTTGGCTTGTTTAGTTTGCAAAATGATAGCTGAGAGGGAAGAGGATTACTGCCTTATAAATACTTTGGGAAGGGTAACATTAGGGAGAGAGAAAAACTATTTAAGTTAAAAGACAATGTTGGCACAAGAACAAATGGATATAAACTAATTGTGAATTTAGGAAGGACATTAAAAGAATAATAAGATTCTACAACAGCGTTCCAGTCAGGTTAGTGAGAACAAAAATCTAGCTTTTTTTCAGATGGAGCTCAATAAAATTATGAACAAAATAATTTGATGTGTCAGTTATGAAAGAAGAGAACTGCAATGATCCAGGAGATTCTTCTGGTCTTTGTGCACATACACACACCCCCCCCTTAAAATTATAAGTCACATTTTTAAACAAGATATTTAAAATCAGTCTTATGCCCCATAGTTCCTACTCATTCAGAATATGAGTTTCTCTTACATCAGGAACTGCTAAGTAGCACCTCTACGATACACATATCTCCAAGCATTCAGCAAGTAACAACTTACATTTTTTACTCTCTCCTCCCCTTTTAATTGGCAGGATTATTACTTAATTTTTTCTACATTTTAAATCCAAGACACGCTATCTGTGCTCACAACAATCTCTTAAACACTTAATTGTAGTTCACAAACAGTGTCCCAATTCTACATTTTCTGTATACAGCAAAATCCTACAGATTTCACAGGAATTTTGGGTGTGCAAAGAATGTGATACTGGGTCTTGTGGTGAAGAAACATCAAATATTAAAGCCAAAATCTCATATTGACTTCAATGGCAATTTTTCCTGGACTGAATTTAGTTCACTATTTGCAAAGTTTTCCAGGAAGCAACATCAGGTCTTTAACTACAAGTTTCCATGCCTACTAAAACTTATGCGAAAACAGAACACTCGCTACCTACCACACCCTAAATAATTGGAAATTATTTTTTTTCCCCTGTGAGAGCCACAGAATTTTACTTGGTTTTGACTAGTGGTATCTTTTATTGGGCCAGCTATGGAGTTGGGATAGTTACACAAGCTTCTGAATGCAAGACATTCTTTGTCAGACATTCTTTGTGATCTGATGAAGAATGTCTTGCATTCAAAAGCTTGTCTAACTCTATCCCAGCTACATAGTTGGTCCAATAGAAGACACTACCCAAAGAAATCCTTGCCTCTCACATAATGTCTAGACCATCATGGCTATAATATCACTCTTACACTACTATAAAATTACTTACTATTTTCAAATGCACTGTATATATGTCTCTGTGTAGAGTCAACTACCTATTAAGTATTAGGATCAGAATCATCCCAATGACTTTCATGCCCATGTGTGAAGCATTTCCCTAAAGTTATTCCTGCTTCTGGCAGATTTTTCAACATTGTTTAGGACTTACAATATATCTTTTCCAAGATCTCTGAATGATTCTTGCAGCTTCGTTCTGTTTCTCTAGGTTTGCATTATTATAGAGATCTATTGCATTGTCCTCTTCGTCCATTGGTCTTACAGTTACCTAAAACAATGTGATATGTAAAGGCATTGTTCAAAACTATTCACTTCTTGATTAATTTACTGTTTTCACAATCATTTTCTCTTCTAACCAAGGTAAAGTATGTGTTAAAACCACTTTTCAAAAATATCTGTCTTATGATCAGAATTCCAACAGGGGAAAAAAAATAAGGATAACAATCAATGATCAGAATTCATCAACATGGCTATTTCTTCCCTAGATCTATAATTTTAAGATAGCAACTAAGAAATAAAATAGTTTTGGGAAGCTGAATAAGTAACTGTGAAATAGAAAGAAAGACTGAGGAACAAGACCTGTTTTTCAGGTCTTGCACAGTTGCATGCAGATTCTTATAGTGTACTCGACTTAGATGCATATTTGATAAGTTTATAAGCTGCTCAACTACATAAGACAATGCCAGTCCCAATTTATTGTCTATTGTCTATATTGTAAAAAACTACTTTTATTTGTAGATTTGTTAAATATATAAACCTCTTAAGCCCCATTTCTACTTTGTAACTTAATTGTACTGAGTTTAAGTACACTGAACTGCCAAAGTTTTATGTCATGGTGATGCCATAAATGAAAAATACTTTATTCTCTTCCACAATGACCCTGCACAGTCAAATCCAGCATAGATCTTCCAAGTAACTATCACGTAAATTCCGGTTACCATTTTAGAAGACAGGGTAGATTAGCACCATTCTAGGAAACTGAATTTAATTATTTGAATTTGAAAAATGTTCCACTTATTTCAGAGAAGCTCAGCTGCATCCAATGTAGGCTAACTCCTATTTGAGAAGCAGATACATTTCCTAAGGATATACAGTGTTTCTGCTCATTATTATATATAGGTTCTCACAACACTTCTCAGATCTGGCTAAACTTTTTTGAGTTTAGCTCAAGATATCCTGATATACCTCAGGGAAGTTTAGCCAGATTTGAGAGGTGTTGTGAGACCTGGATAATGCAAACTGAACCTATACATAACAGTGAGTAAAAGCACTGTGGGGGCAAGCGCTCTGAAGGTTCTCTCCTGGGGCAATACTGATGCCCCCTCTTCTCAAAGAGGCCCACAATATTATACTGTTCTGGGGACCTCTATTGTTCATTGCTCAGCAGCTTTTTGGCATTACAGGCCAGAACAACCAAGCTCTGGTCTGAGGTGGGCTGGTGTTGCAACCTGGCCAACAGGACTTTTCCTCACCACCACTTCTACCTGCCCCCTGCTGCAGCACAAGCACAGCTCCCAACTGCTTGGTCTTGACACAACTCGGCTGCTCAGCCCCAGTGCAAGCAAAGGCCTCTGCTGCCAGAATATCTCTGATCCCACCATAGCTCCACAGGCCAGATCCAGCAGCTCCATGGGCCAGACCCAGACCATGGACCACATGTTGCCAACCCCTGCATATACTCTATTTGTGGCCTAAAGTATTTTTTCCCATATCTGTCTGATTACACATTTAATATTCTTTTTTTGGTTTTGGAGTATATCAGAACTATCCAGATATTTATACTTCTGGATTGTATTAGTGCAACGTACTTAACCAGAGATGACCCTGGACTGTTAGTTGGCTGGACCAGCTACAGAGAACGCCTGGCTATCCAGGCACTGTACTGACTTATTTCCATTTGGTTTAACAATTTTAAGAACAGTAATGAGATTATGCATGTAAAAACATCCCAGGAAAGAAAGAAGGAACAATCCTTCTTCATATAGCACTGAGGAGAGTATTCACAAGAGTAGTATCTATGTAACATAACAAGGATAGAAAGGCTTTTCTGAAGTACAGTAACAATGGTGAAGGATTGGAAGGATTAATTTAAGACGAAAGATAAAACAATTACATACGAGCAACGTGATAAGATAAAAAAGACACACGCCAGTATTTATTACAGAGTAAAAGAGAATAATTGATACGACTAGCACAAGAAATACACTGTTAACCAGAAGTAAAGGTAGGAAACTGAGCAAAGAAAACATTCAAATGGAATATCAGGAATCACAGCCTTTATAAAGCTCTGTTAAACCTAAATTAAGGAAAGCACTTAATAATGCATTGTCAAGGACACAACATGTAAAAGCCGTAAGGGTTTTTTTTCCTCATATCTAATTAACATGAATCTAAGTTTTGATCTGGATCTAGATAACTGCAATTGCCTCATAAAAAATAGAGCATGCTTTCTATTATCTCTAAAACAATACAAAAACTCAGATATACTCTGGTAAAAAATTTTAAAAAACCCTGACAGTATTTCTGCTTCAGCAGAATCGCAGACAGTTATTAAACGACTAATGGATCTTTTCTCCTCTTGATGCATGTGCATATTTACCATTAATGTTAATGAGAACTGCACATACACAATCACCTTCAAAGTGATGACACTTGTATAAATCTCATTAAGCAAAATGAAAGGGGCAAAGGAACGAATTGAAAATTTGTTAGGAAAGACAAAAGATTATCTTCCCTCTGTGAAAAGCACTAGAAAATGAAATGGTTGGGAAACGGGTATAACCTGCTGGATCCTTCTTGTCTCCAGTTAACTAAAATTCTATGAATAAGCTTTTCTGGCTAATAAAAGTTACCTTGACCACCAGCTGTCATTCCCTACTTTGTGCCTATTTTCTATCTTCTATATTATGACTTAATGTTATGTCTACCATGCTAAAAGGTGCTTGGTATAGTAGGCTAGACTACTCATACACCAGTAAATTATACTTTAAATTAGGCACGTCTGACTAGATTTCATAGACATTAGGACTGGAAGGGACCTTGGAAGATCATAGAGTCCAGCCCCATATGGGAATCCATCATTGCGTAAGCAGGGGAAACAGATCTCTCTCCTCGCCTCTTCTGCCATCCTATAATTCTGAGTATCATGAAAGTGATTTTTCTATTTTATTAGCCTGTGTCCAAAGGTTCGAAATTTCTTAAAGTCATAAAAAATGACATCTACAATTCTTGTCAGAGACACCTGATGAAGAACGGTTGGACCTGTCTAACTTTTATTCCAGCCATGCAACTGGTCCAATAAAAAGGTCTGGTGAAGTGAACTGGGGTTCACAAAAGCTTGTGCTCCCCTGGCTTGAAGATATTTAATTTCAGCCGAGCCCCTGTAGGTATTTTTTTTTAACGGTGCAAAAATGAATATTGCGCCTTCTACAACAGACCCACAAGAGAAATGCCGTCTTATTTGTCAGTCTATAAAGGTGCATATCTACCCCACCTTCCAATGAAAGTATCACCCCCCTCCAAAAAACCAAACCCTGTCTCTCTTCAGCCACTGTAAACATGCAGGATCCGGAAAGCAACACCGGTGCCTAAAAATAAATTCCAACAGACATTCAGAGGCGCGATGATTACGCTCCCACAGGCCTGGTTTCCGGCTCTTCAGCCTGGCACGTAGGTCATGTGATGGGCTCACAGCGAAGCGGGGCTGGACGGGACCTCCAGAGGTCATCAAATCCAACCTGAGGCAACCTCAGCCCAACCAAACCATCCCCCCCCCGCACACCCGTGCTCCAACCTCGTGGGAAAACCACCCTGGCCCCACACAGGACACCGCAGCCCAACCTACCGCAGGTGAAGCAGGCAGCCAGGTAGGCCAGATGCACCCAGGCGAAGGACCAAGCCCCCGACCCCTCAGCATCCGACTGCGGATACAACTCCTTCCTGACCCGCAGCGGGGTCACACAGCCCCGCCCCCCGGCGGTTACCGGCAGCGTCCCGCGCGCCCGGGCGGGGCAGCTCCGCGTGCCCGTTCCCATAGCGACCCCGGGGCGGGGCTGGGCGAGGCGAGGCGAGGAGGAAGGCGTAGGGGCGGGGCCTGGCAGAGGGGGGTGGGGCTCGACGGGAGGTGCTGCACTGACGGCGCCTGGAGTGTGGGTTTATGGCTGTCGCAGCCCTCGCCAAGGCCCCGCTCCCGCGCACCGAGCCCCTCACGTGGCAGTAGTTCTAGGTCCTTCCTATTGACGGGTTCCTGCTGCGAGCTGAGGAGTACACTGAGATTTGGGGACCCAGCACCATCCCTCGGTGCTTCACTGAGAGCCAAGGACGGACACGTTTCCTCGAATGACAGAGTCGGGGGTGTAGGGCAGCGCTTCTCAGCCAGGCCCTGCCGCAGCACCCGGGGGTGCCAGCCTGCAGGTCCACTCGGGGAGGCGTGCAAACGGGGGATTCACAAAATCGACCTAGAGACATAGGCAGCCGGCTGGGCCCAGGGGCTCCTGCCTCGGCGTGGACCGAACGGGTGCACGTGACGTGATGCCGCTGCACCCAAACTGAGCCACAGCAGGGTGAGGCGCCACCCCCAGAGCTTAGTTTCATAGTTGTTAGGGGCTGCAAGGGACCTTACACATCATTGCATCCGGCTGGGTCTGCACCACGCTTACCTGGAGGGCAGCAGCTCTGCACCCAGCATAGACTTGTGGGCGGGGCGACCATGGCTTCTGCCCCAGGCCTGGGGGCAGCACGTCCTGCTCTGGCCACTGCTCCTGCTGCGCCGGTCAGGGATGGATCTTGCGGCTCCAGAGCAAGCCATGGGTCACAGGAGCCAGGGCCGAGGGCCCCAATGAATCTTAAGCCACCCTGGCCCAGAGATTTCAAATAGGAACCCATGGTGTTAAAAGCATTCTGCCGTGCTGTTCACTTATGTTCTTTGCAACAGAAGAATTACTCTGTTCATTTTTCTGTAGTCAAAAATCAAGTGAAAACTAAGCCAATGGGAGCCTTGAGTGTAAAAAGGTTGTAGGGAAAGCCAGTAAGAGTTTAAACTCATGGTGTTTCAAGAAGAAATATGGATTTACTTCAAATTCTTCACCAGCTGGCAGTGTGGCTCCATTGGCTTTGTAGTTAGGACTCAGCCCATGATCAGCTGTGCTTTTGCTTTATTTCCGTTAAGAGGCAGGGCCTTTCTATCCTGGATACCAAGAGAGAAAAAGCAGGATGAAAGAACTCTAAGTTGGATTGAGTTGAGGAATGATAAAGTGTGCTTGTTCCACTGGAAAAAATAATGGGTGTTGCTTTTTGGCGAACGATTACTTTAAATCAGGTAGGGAATATATGTGCAGACTCATTTGGAATATGGATGAGAGAGAAGATATGTCAAAGTATGTGTGTAAATCTTCATGTTGATCTGCAGATGATCTGCCATGGACTGCTGATTTGCGATGCAGTCCATAGCAGCAAATAGGTTCCTGTGTAGTAGGTACAATCTGGATAAATTTTTTGCTTATTCCAAACTTTAGATGAAAGGCTGCTGAACCTCTGTAGCTAGCTGCTATAAATATCGTCAGTGGTTAAAAATCAGACAAATCATAGAGCAGTGTGTTGTTATGTAAGGCAGGGGTGACAAATGGTCAGCAGAAACAGCACAGGCTGCTTTGGTGTGTGGCACACAGCAGACTGGGGAGAAGAAAGAAAGCACACAGTGGTAGATAGGGCAGGGAGCAAAAAGCAGAGCAGCAGATGGGTCAGGGGAAGGAAATTGGAATGGCACTTGGAGAGGTGCTAATTTGTGGCGTGCCTGCCAAAACTGTTGACCTCCCCTGATGTAGGGGATACTCACTTTGTGCTGCAGGTGAAGGAAAAGGGGTGATGCATTTTAAGTGCTGGAACTACCACAAACAAGAACATGCTCAGAACAAGAAAGGCATTAGCAATTGCTTAACCGAGTGATTATCAATTACTTTGGGTAGATGCTTGCTGCCTTTTCTTGTGTAATGGGCTCTATTCTGCAGTAAAACCCTCCAACCAACTCAGTGGTGGTTTCACAAGCTTCTAAGAGAACTAAATTAGTCCTCAGTTGCTTGGATGAATCAGGCTAATATAAGGTGCTCAGGAAAGAGAAGATAAGAGACATCCAAACATTTATTTTTAAAATAAATTATTTTCAGGCTAGTAGCCAGGGCCAAATTAACACATAGGCAAACTAGGCCCATGCCTAGGGCCTTAAGTGAAGAAGGGGCCTAGTTGTGCTTATTTTACATATTACACTTAGAGTAGAAAAAGTAATATAAATATACAGTATTAAGTAGGGGGCCTACAAGTTTGTTTACCTAGGGCCCACTAAAGGATTAATTTGGCCCTGCTACTAACATTATTGGGGGGTTGGGGAGGCATGACTGGAGCAGCAGCTTTGGGTGCTGCCTTTTTGGGGGGCATTGCAAAAATAACTGCGACTGCAGCAGTGGCCCATTGCACCACTGTGATTGGCAGAATGGCAGCCAGTAATGCCCAGGGTGCAGAGCTGCGCTGCTTGACCTGTTTCAGGCATATATATATATATATATATATATATATATATATATAGGAAGTGAATCAGTTCTGAAGAAGACTAAAACAACAAAATCTCTGTTCATATATTTTGTAGATCATAAAAAGACAGTTTAAGTGGAAATAGGTTCAGTACCGAATGCTGTAGAAGAATGTGGAAGGAAATTTTGCCTCCCCTTCTCCCTGCTTAATTAGAAGATGGACTGAAGTGAAAATTTATACAAATATGGATTTCTCTACTCTTTTTTTAGTGGGAACATTAGGAATCTCCATGATTGCTCTAATGCCAGTGCTGTGTTTATCTCGTAGTATCTTACAGTGTCTTGTGGTGCATCTGATCGTCACTGACTGAATCTAAGAAAATAAAGGGAAACTTAGTGGATAAGCTTGTCCATCCCTTGCTGTCTGAGAGGATAATTTCCCTAAGCAGAGTACTGTTATGGGAGAGAAACCCTAGTCCACTGAAATCATTCTAAATTTTGTCACTGCCTCAATTGGAGCCAAGATTTCACTCTCTTTTCCCACTTGCCTTTAAATGCAGTATATGTATCTATTTTTGGCATCTATATAATGCCTATCACTGTGGTACGTAAATGAGATCTCCATGTTTTTTAAATTACTTAAATTAGAAAGTCAACTCTGCAACCTGAAATCCCACTGTTAAAAGATTTTGTTTTCTGATACCCAGACTAATTTTTCCAACGCTTAGTTTTACTTTTATAACCCATTTTATCTTGTTTCATTAACCTAAATAGTTCCTTTCCTTTCTTTGTTGAGATCTTCAAGTTTTGATGGATGAGGGATTGTTCAGCACTCAGATTCAACCCTCTTCTCAGTGAAGCCAGTGACAGTTTCAACATTTACTTAAGTGGAAGAAAGAAAGAAGATGCTTTAGCTTTATTAATCCTTTCTCAAGTCATTCCATATCTCATCCTGAATGATTTATCTGTTGTGAAATGCTAAATGTAAATAAATTACTCTTAAAAGCAATCCTAAACCATATAATTAATGACATGACAATTAAGCTAAAATAGAAAAAAGAAAATTAACAAATGGAGAGATTAGGCAAAGACAAAATATCTCACTAAATGTTTTTGCTTCCTCAGAAAGAGATTCAGAATCCCAGGACAAGGAAACTAGAGCATACAAGTACACAAAACTGAATGTACCGAAGATTACAGGTGACGTTGCTTCTTGGCACGAAAGACCAAAGATTCTGCAGCAACAATGAACTGTTTAAGTAATACGAATTATATTTCACTGCAAGCCAGAATGTGCTTATTCCCATATAAAATCAGCTGTTAGGCTGTCAGACATTTTAGTGGCTGCAGCCAAAGACTGACAGCCCTCTGAGTGTGCCAGACTAAGATATATTAGACAAAATAAGCCTGGTCAATTCTGTGTTCATTTGAAATGCAAAGATAAACCCAGGTCAGATACTACAGATAAGAGTTTGAAATGACGGATTGTATTTGCACGTTTGTATTGTTCTACATTCTTTGGTGCCAAGTACTTAGTTCCCCAGTGAAGAAACAGCTAACTCAACTGTAGATACAAGGATAGATTCTCTTCTGTTTTGCTTGGCTTCAGGGGCAATGCCAGAGCGCTAGTTATAGTTCTCTGATCTTGACACTGCTGGTCTAGAGACCAGCTCCATCAGGTTAAAGCCAAAAGTGAATTTCCCATGTGAAATTGGTTCCTTACTGGGCATTTAAGGCTAGAATCTGGTACTTTTGTTCTGGATTCCAACTAAAACTCTGGCCCAGCAGTCAACAATGGCTCTTCTTCAAGGGATAGGGAGTAGAAATATTCCCTGGCTCATGGTTCTTCCAAGATCTCAGAGTCCTGGATGTGAAAGGGGAGCCCTACCTTTCCTAAAGCCTTCCTTCTCCCTAAGTCTCCTCTGCCTGCATCTACTTATCAAAATACAAATATTTTCACCAGTAACACCACCACACAACTCTTTATGGCAAGGGGGGAGGATAAGCTAAGGTTAAACTTGTTAAGTGGGGACCAAGTAACAACATGTATTTTTACTCTTAAAGCCTAAGGCAGCAAGATGATGAGTTATTCAAACTTTTACAATTAAAAAAAATCTGACTTTATAATTTGGGGGTATATATTTAGCTAACTTCATTCTTTTTTCGTATGAAAGGAAAGGGGCTTCAGACTAATGTGGACTAATTTTCAAAGGTGTAGAATAGGGGTGTCAAGCTCACCCCAAGACCTGGTACACTGCTGGCCTGCAGAGGCTTTTCCCAAGCTGGATCCACAGGGTCCCCAGCAACTGTGGTGGGTCCAGGACTAGGTAGCAGGGAAGAGCTGTGTTTGGGCAGCAGAGCATGTCTGGGTATATGTGGCAGCACAGGTC